AAGCTTCCTCATATTCACATTCATTGCATTGTGTATTATTTCCCCCTTCCCCCTGCCTATATAAATCAGGCCCTATGGCCAAATGTAACACACCTTTGAATATTGAAAACCTTTTACTCTTTGAGTATTATTAAAATAGTGTGATGCTATTTTAGCCAAATTCCTAATTCTATATCTTAAGAGTGGTTATCTTAAGTGTAAGTTTTAGGTTCTAGATATTTGATTAAGTGTGTCATATCTTAATTAAATTCTAGATTCAAACCCCAAGTTAAGATAAGAGTGTGTAATATCTCTTAAGCACCAACTTGGTTTATCCATCCCTGATTTTCTTCCATTTCTTATCTCCCCCATTTCTCCTCTTAACCTTACTCTTTTCTTCTATTAAAATACCCCAAAAAGAACTCCTTCATCATCCTCATATTTCCCAGCCATTCCCCCACACAAAACACCCTTCTTCTTGCCCAGACTTCTACCCAATAATCGATTATCCTTAGTGACAATCGATTATCAGTCACCGTTGAAACACCTGAACCCATTATAGTCGATTATCCTTTCTGGACAATCGATTATCACGTCCCCCAGAAATCCTGCAGTCTCTAACAATCGATTGTCTCCTTTTGCCAGTCGACTATCAGCCCCTCCTGAAATCCTGAGGAATTCTTCTAAGAAACTGAAGCACCTGTTAAACCATTATCACGATTGTGTCAATCAACTATCTGGCCGTCCTGAAGATTAAAGGCTGTTCTAGTTTGCTTCCTATTCCTCCGTAATCCCGCCCTCAAATTATCTAAATGATAAGACCCCGGTCTCGGGTATAACAAGAAGGCATTGAGGTTCGAGGAGAGAAAGATTCTATTATGAGAGAAGGCATTCAGCAGACTGAGATGCGAGATGAGGATGGTGATGTGTTGAAGGTAGCAAGTTAGATGTTACAGTGAAAATGCACTGAACATGCCCTTTATTTTTATTGATAATGCACATTTTTTCTTATATTATGATTCATTATGCATCAGGTTTTTCTTAAAAAGTTTGCAGAAAAGGGTAAGATGCTAGCAAAGACAGTCGTGGAGTTAGTGTCGTTAATGGAGGGTGCACCAGCTGAGGCGATGAAGAACGATGTTTATGTGGAATTGCAGATTGCTGCTGGAAGGTTACTGGGATTAGTGAATAAAAATCCAAAAGATGGTGTGCAGCCTGCGGAATGTGCATTTTCTGAAGTGTCTTATGATGAGTTCATTTGGAGCGATCCTT